TATGTATGTGTATATATATATAGATGAACGAAAGTCTGCCATTCACTGTCATGCGGCACCAGGAACAGTTCGACGAGGCAGCTGACTGGGTGTCGCAGAGTTTGAAGCTTCCTGGCTGTTTAGCGGCGTCGAACTTGCCGACTGAAACAAACCGCGGCTGGTTGCTTCGCGGCCGGGCAGTCTCTACGGTTCACTTGCCTGGAATCATGGAGTCAATTGCCCCTTACTCCAGGTAAAGCATGGGAGGCAGCATTCCGGTGTTTGGAGTGTTGAGTCTGACGCTTCTTGGGGCTTCACTCCACGATTAAGATTACTGTAATTTGCCTCATGGGGCTATTGCTATATCTTGATGACCGTCCTGTAGCCAGATGCCTCAACGCTGAAGGCCAAAGTTTGCCTCACCCAGGCCGACCACACCCTGTAGCAAGTCAAGTTTCTCTTGTTGACATAAGCTCCATCTTATCTTCTTGATATGGTTCAGGCAATTAAAGGGCCAACTTAGTTGCTCTATCAGACCCACTACCCTGGAAGCCTGGAAGCCATAGATCCTCCGAGGCTTCAGGCGAACCTACGCAGAAACATAAGCCTCCTAACACTTCTGGCATGCATTGCCGAAAGGAATCTCTTGAGCTAGTAAGGTTCGTCAAGGTTATGAGTTATGATATTAAAGGACTCTAAGCTCTGCTCCGAAAGCCGTACATCCCGCGTAAAACACATCAAGTCAGCCATCCAGGTTTGACCACCCTGCTCCGGTGTCCTTCTTCGAAATTACGATTCGAGCCTTAGGCAGGGCCCGGACAGACCACTGGTGTTGAGCCCCCTTATGCCATGTAAGCCACAGGCTTAGGGACTCACTTTCGGCAGCTCAACTTTGGCAAAGCTGTGGCCCGGGCACACGTACCATGCATCCGAAACTCGAACATGCCATATCTGCAAGAACACAGGACCACCTAAGTTCTACGGTTCGGACTTAAGTTGAGGTTCGACGGTGGCAGCGTGACTGGGTTGACCTTCTCCTCAAAGGCCTAAGGCTCCTCCCCCGATCACTGCAGCCAGGTGGGCTTCTCTCTGCTCATGCTCTGTCGGGCCGCCCGATTTTTCTGCAGAAGGCCGGGCGCAAGCTTAACGCTCTTGAGCTGGATCCTTGTGCATCGGGTGTTGTTTTCTTGTATTTTTTTCGGGCTCATTCCTCGCTAGAGAGCGGTTGAGGCAGGGCCTTGTCTAACCGGAGGCTCGTTCGAAAAAAGGAAGGAAACACAATGTGAGTTGTCCTTCGCACGAAGGCCCGGGAGCTTGGCGACAAGCTGCTGAAGGCCTTTAATGGGCAGACAGGCTCCGCGCTTGGGAGACTGCGTGAGGAGTCTGGAGCAGCACGGGGTCATGTTGAGGGTATCCTGTATCACACATCGTATGTTACATACACTATAACTGAAGGTTATATGAGTATGTATTATATATTGAGGGCGGTTGGGGTTCTCAGCTCCAAGCGGAGATAGCTAAATTTGGGCTGAGTAGGGCAAGCCCACCCGAGTAGCCAAGTAGCATGACAACCGATCAGTTGGGCTCGGGCTTGAACTTTAATTGACCTTGTACGTGTAGGCATGCGGGTTGCCAGCCATGGTGGGCAATCCACCTCGCAACTGCCTGCAATCTTCAGCCCAAAATCTAGTTTGGGGTGAACGATGCCAGTGCTTGCCCACGCCCTCGAGCATGTTCAATGTTTACAGTCGAATGCATATAGATATTATACTTCGCAGCCTCGATTCCAGCTTTCGTGGCGAGAACCTTAGACCTTCCTTGTGCTAGTCGAATCTCCCGCAGTCTCGAGCCCTCCGCAGATCAAAGGGCACAGGCTCGTTTCTCTGACCAGGTTTCCCCTTCACGCAGCTGAACTTGAGGACCGGGAGTCGTTCTCATGCGCTGATTTGCGAAGTTTGTGCAACAAAACCGTCATAGACATTGCCACCGGTGCACGCATGCCGTGTTGCTGCGAGAGGGCTTCGAAATCACCAGAGAGGCACGTGAACTCAAAAAAGCTGTCGGCGCCTGGGGCCTGGGGCCCTTCGAGTTGAGGGATCTGTAACTTGTGCCCAACCGGTGTCTCTTGTTCCATCCCGTCCCGCGCGATCACTGCAGGACAGGCGAAGGGAAGAAAGGCTGGTACTCCGGCGTTGTCCTTGCGGAGGTGCGCTCCTAAAGTTGAGCTTCGATAGAACTCAGTGATCCGCCAACAGGCAAGAGGAAGTTCTGACATGGGCGGCAGAATAGAAGCCCCAAGACACTGAGCATGTCTGGGCATCCTGGTGATCCGGGTGTATTCGATGGTTGTACGTAGACCTCTGCCAAATCTTGCCGGCCACGCCGCTTTTTGCATCGTTTGGCATCAGGACCACGATCTTTGTTTCTCCCGCTCTCTCTGTCTCTAATTCGCTCTCAGCCTGGACGTTCCATACAGCACATGTATCTAGTTAGAGCGGATGGTCAAATTGTGGACATCAAGATTCTAAATGCACAGTCATGATTGGATCGATCGGATCCCAGAGTTCCAGTCACTTGCACTGATTGATGATGCTTCTACTACTTGCCCATTTTCCGAGACAGATTGACGAAGCACCTGCCATTCGTGTGAAGAGGCCGGTACCGTGCAGCTCGAGTTCCGGTACCTGTCGCAACAGTGGCGTATCAGCATTCGGAGCTTTCGGGTGTCGAATTCAGTCGAGAAGGCTTGACCGAAGGCTGGGGGCTTTCGGGGGTTCAGGCTGAGGGTTTAGGGTTTAGGGGTTATAGCTTAGGGTTCAGGGTATTTTGGGAGTTACTGTCGGGCTTAGCATTAACAATGGGTCGCGATCACAATCGCAAAACCTCCCACTTACAGCAATACCCTCAACCCGAACGTAAAGCCGAAACCCTGTCTCACAAAAAAACGCTGCTTCACGCCGACTCGCACCTGTTGATCCTCGCCTGCCTTGTCCGGGTTGTGAGAGCGTGAACTTAACAGAGCCCTAAAAGCTAAAACCTGTTACCTGCTGCCGAACCTTAAATTATAGGGTCTGCCATGCCTGCGTGAGCGAGTGTGTGAGTCGAAACCCTATAATTTGCAGAGCCCAGAAAGCTACGTGCCGTAGAACTTTAAACCCTAAACCCCGCTTGGGGGGGTCCTCTCGCGGAAAATGCGGGGGGGTCACGGGGCTTGCAATTTCTCCCTGGAGTTTCGGAAGTCTTTCTTTGCGGTTCGACTTGGTCAGCCAGGCGGGTGGAAAAAGACCCCAGCTGATGAGCCCGCAGCGGCCCCCAAAACCGCCAAACCCTAAAGATCCCCAACCATACCGCCTGCTGCAGTAATTACCATAAATCCTTAAACCCTACATAACCCCTAAATCCTAAACCCTAAATCCCAAGCCCAAACTGCAGAGCTCCAAATCGAGGAGCAACGACCCGAAGTATGCGGCCGCAGGCGATCGGGCGATGCGGCAGATCTTGCAGGTGTGGAGCACCCTGCGTTCTCTACTACTGTTTCTTGCTAATTGGGCTGCTTGTAGGTTCTCAAAGGGATGCAAAAATGTGGTCTGCTTGTCTCAAGGTTTTGAGGTATAGATAAGCGATATAGGTCCTATAGGTTTTTCTTTTTTTAAGGAGGGGGGGTGCTTAGGGTTGCAGGATAGTTTTTGTTTAATGGTCTGTTGTTTGACTCTGGCGCTGTCACGGTTTTGGATCAGGGTGTTTCTGATTCGGAGGGCCTTGGAGTCTCGATGTGGCTTGAGTACTACCCGTTCAGGGTTTAGGGTTTTACGGTTGGTTACGGTTGGTTCTGGACCAACCGACAAAGCCCGAAATCAAAGGCTCTAAAACTGTAAAGCCAAGCCGTAGCAACTTGAAGTTCAACTCGTAGGCCTGACAACTTACAGCGGGGTGGGGCTCTGCAGTCCGGATTACCGATTTCGTGCTCCTGCTGCCACCCCCGGGAATGTGCGACAGGTTTGTTGCAAAAAGCTCAAAACACAAAACCCTCATACAGTTGCGGCACGGAGGCCTAGCTTCGGAAACCCAAGGAGCCTGTGACAGCCGTTAAGGTTTCAAAGTTGCTAGATCCTTGGCCGTGCTATCGCCAGGGGTTACCTTGATAGCGAGGATCTCTGAATGGTATGGTTGGCAGTGGCAATGTTATCAGTGCGTATCCCTCACGTCATTCTATCACTATCGTTACGGCTATTCCTATATCTTAAGCCCCGGAAGCCGCATCCCTGCTCTCATCGAGGCCGAGAACGGCCAGGGCTTGGTTCCTTGGGGTTTGGCGAGTTCCGGCCCGCCACGCTTCACGAACAGCCGCTTCGCACCAACCCATGAGCCCCGAATCGGCATAAACCAAAACGGTAATGCTCACTGATTTCCTGCAGTAGCGGCAGAGTAGCGGCAGTAGCAGTCAGTAGCAGTCAGTAGCAGTAGTAGTAGACGTCGTCGCAGCAGCAGCTTGCCTAGGTGCTGTCCTCGTCGCATCGTCTTTGAGCTCATTTGTGGTGGTTACTGCTGCTGCTCTTGCTACTGCTGCTGCAGCTGCTAAGTGGAGGAGTTGCGCGCCCTTTGTCTTTGGAGAATTGGTGATGTATCTCTACTTCGAGCTCATGGCATTCTCGAACCCAAGCATTACTGATGGGCAAGCTTAAACAGAACAGTATCTTAGTAACTCTTATTAATACTTGTGTTGAGTCCAAGTACACCCACCCACCGATTTCCCACAGACTCCATGAAATCTGAAGTTTCTGCCGGTTGGTGTCACCCACCATTCTCATCTTAGGCCACATCACATTCGGAGCCATGGGCGACTCTTACTACGAGTACTTGCTGAAAATGTGCCCCTGCCGCATTCACTGCAGCTGGAAGTGAACCCTGCATGTTTTGGCTGTGTTGTCGGCCTTGGTTCAACATCATCTCGCCTTCGCCATGTGCTGTTCTCCAGCACATGCCAGTGGGAACCCGGAAACTGAAAGACGAACGCATAGGTACCTGCAGACCGACCGCTCCGAGCCGGAGTGGATCAACGCAGCATGGCCATGAAACGGCTCTTGTCAAGGGTCCGTTTAAGGGGACGAAACGAGTGCGACAGCAATTTAAACGTTAGAGGAGAATGTGGCGGAGCCACTGCCGACCGATGGATTGTTGTCGTCTTAAGGGTTCGGTGTGGGTGCTGGTCGCAGGATTGCTTGCCACGTCACACAGATTCAGGCGTAGAGTTCGTAGATCACAGAAGCTTGGCAACCCCTTCGACGGACACGGCTGATGCAGGGAGAGGCAGTGAACTTGAGCAGTGCGAGTACATGGTTTTCTCGAGCAGTATGCAGCAGTAATAGCGAGGCGCAGAGGGAACTTCGATTGCTGGACCTTGCCTAGAGCATTCCGGGGCCCCCGAGGGCGGAAGTCAAGTCCGATCGCCGAGGCCTGGAGACGAGCCATGGACAAGATGATGTCTCGGCTGATCTTTACCTCGAAAGGCCTTGTCTCAGAGATTCTTCGAGTTTTGGGCTGCGGGATTTGGGGTTTCCCGGCTCTGACAGCTCGGAGATGGCACGGGCCAGCACTGAAATCGGGTTTTCCGGCCGAGGGCCAGACAAGAGTCTGCAAGGGCACAGGATCTGCGGGTTCAGGGTGTAGTCTGGAGGGCTTGCCGCCGGTGAATTACAAGTCTAGTATACAGTATACTGTACTCCTAAGGCCCCTATGGCAGATACGCTTGAGACCCTTGCAGCCCTTCAAGCCGGTAAGTGCTGAGTAGGCACGAGGGCAAAGGGGGTATTTTTGGAGGTGGAGGTCAGAAGGCCCGGTTCAGGGTTTAGGGCCTTAAAGCTCTATGACACGATGGCCATCTATGGACGAACCTTGCCAGGGCAGACTGGTGCCTGCCGATGGTCGAATCCAAGAAGCTATACAGCCAGGGTCAGATGTTCGGGCTACAACTGCTTGACAAACTTACTTAAACTCCAGGCACATCGAAGGGAAGCTGGCCAGGTAATTAAAGCATCTCAGTTAATACCTAAACGCTTCACCTGATCAGGCGGCCTTACCTACATCGCGGAGGAGAAGCTCCTTGGTGGAGCGTAGTTGTGCGTAGGTTGGGGCTTTGGCTTGCAGATCGGGCTACGGGTTCCTAACCCGAGCTCAATGACTGGTTTATAAGCCTAGTTGGTCTAGCTGGCGTCTTGGACGTTAAGCAAGCTCTCAGTTTTGTTGGGGAAGAAACTCATTTTGGACAGTCCTGGTGAGATTGAGACACATCCGCCAGACCCGGCATCCAGCCCTTTCAATCTGGGAGAGAGTTGTTCATGAGATGTGGCCGCAATCGATGGGGCTCTATATGCAGCAGCAGAACATCTAGAGGGCGGGATAGTTGGTAGATGTTGGTGGATGAATAAAGCCTGAGCCTTTGTGCACACGGATGGTATCTGTGTTTAGCCTGGATCTCCTTCGACGAAGTCCCCTCAAATACGGGAAGGCCCGAGCCTCGACAAGAGCTACACACGAGGAGCTCTAGAGCCCGAAACCCAGAGCCGAGGAACAGCAGAACTGACCACAAGATGGACCACCTGGCTTGCTTCGTAGGTGCATCTTCGCAACAGATTTTTTCAGGTTGGCATGAGGTGGCGGTGGTTCTGTGGATCTGACTTTTGAAAGCCTGTAGTAGAGACTGAGACGGTTGGTGTAGAGCCAATGCGTTAGTCACTCCTGCCTTGTTGACTTTGATGCTGGAAGAGATCGTTGAAGCATGCTTGTGCGTTCACGGTGCACCAAAGCCTAAACCCTGTTGTTTGCAGCGGCCAGACCACCATTTTTCTTATCAGGCGTGCCAAGACAGCACACTTCTCAGAGTCTGTTTTAGGCAAGTGCCTGGCACAGGCGGGATGCTGATCTACGGTTCCCGTCAGATCAACCCAGAGGTGCAGCGAGGGGAGTTTGCATGTTGGAGGTATCTGTGAGCGGTTGTTCTTTTGCACAACATTACGTAGAGTTGTTTAACGGTGGCTGTAGCCTTGTGGTGAGACCATGCTGTACTAGGAGGACGACATAGGGGCACCGAGCCTCGATGTAATTCTATCTGACCTCTAACTAGATCGAGATGTTCTGGCAGCAAGCATGAGCGAGCGAAATCGGGTTATCGCTCAGAGTCAGAAATGGCACCGTTAGCCGATGAGACAGGACAAACACAGCGGCTCAACTAGAGGTCTGAATGATTGTACCCCCGGAAATTCCTTTTCGGGGGTACTTGGTATAATTCCAGCACAAAACAACCCAATCCCAAGTCCTATAGGGCTCCTACATCACGAGTTTGTGCCTTCATCGGCGGGGCGGAGGGCTTAGGTGGTAGGGACGCTTTTCCCAGAGCTCCAGGAAGTTTAGAGCTTGTGGGTTATACGGCTTATAGGGCTTAAGGCTCTGCGGTTGTGCGTTTTGGGGTGGTTTTGGGCTCGGAGTCTTCACTCTGCAAGCCGCGAGGACGTGGATTCGAGGTGGGAGCAAACTGCAGCTGGAATCACAGAGACTTGCTACGAGAGCCTCGGCTGGAAGCGAATGCCAGATGAAGGGGTCCAAAGTTTTTGATGATAGCAGCATGAGTCATACTGGCCACCAGCTGCTGTGACAGCTCATGCACTGCAAAGCGTGCTTGCTCTTGTATCCTCTTGTATCCAGCCCATGCATAGCCCTATAGAGATCCACGGCATGGGCATCCTGGAAGCTGTTAGAACAGCACTGAATCGAAAGCCGAAGCTCCCTCTCCCGGAAGTCTGCCGACCGAAGCCGAGGATGTATCACCGGCAGCCGTCCCATTTGGCTCCGGAGGCGTCGCAGGGCGTAGGGTTTTGGGTTTAAGGGTTACGGTGTTAAGGGCTTAGAGAAGACCCGACAGTTCGCGGTTTTGACTTTGGTGTTTAGTAGGATTTGTGGGGCTTAGCTTAGCTTGGGATTCATTTAAAGGGCTTCAAGTTTGGACCCTCAGGATTGTGCTTTGCAGTGCCGTTCAGCTGGACGTGGATCCTGGGAGGTATGTTCGGAAAGCTTACAAGAGAATAGAATAGAACCGAGCCGAATGGAAATTGGAAACAACGTATTTTATCCTTTTTGGTTAGATGCGCAACCCGTCTGCCCTGTTTTCTGCAGAGTTTCGTTTTCCCTGCAATCTAAGCTTATGTCAGCCAACATGCCACATGTTCTGGGCTGTGGTACCTTCACTAGTTCTTGGCCGGAGTGCAGGCACACCAACCGCAATTTGCCGGAGCAAGCGAGTGCAGAGTGGGAGGTTTTGCCTTGGACAGAGGTCGAGTCTATTGGCTCTTTGTGTATAGCGTGGACTTGATGCTGCGTTGCACCGGTGCCTACAAGGCTTAGGGGCCTAAAGCACCAGGTGACACACCGTGATACACAGAATCTAGGTTGAAAGCTGCAAGTGCCGCGTCCTCATGTCTTCTCTGACCTAAGTGTAAGTCCCAAATTCGCACACCCGAAGCCCCGTCTACAGTATTCCATGTCTGCCAAGCCATTGATCACCGAGAGCCTCTTGACGTGACACCATGCCATGAATGCGAGCCGTCATGCTGATGCTTGAAAATACAACATCCCCCCTGCTCCCCGACATGCGCAGTTCCTTTCGGTTTCCTTTTTCATGGAATGATAATTCGGCGAGTTCGTCTTTACCAGCACCGCTCGACTCACCACATGTACCGTGATAGATGTTGCTGGCGCTTAATCAGCATACTTCTCAGCATGCTCTTTCAGTCTGCCGGGGCAGTTTTCTCCTTGTTACGTAGTGAGATCACTGCAAGCAATCCGTCCTGCTGCTATGCGGCAAGAATTTTGTAGGCGCTTCTAGATATTCTTGCTCCGACTCGTAAGCCAGGAAGTTGGGAAGCTTGCTTGAAGCTTAGAAGAATGCAACAAGGCACATCCTAACACACCCATGTGTCTTCTGTTGCAAATGGGTGTCCGCACGACGGACCGAGGGTGCGTTGGACTTAGAAGCAAGTCCAGCTACGAAGATCTGATCCTGGACACCCAGCAAGCTTAGTACTTGCCGGCCACCTCACCTGTCGAAACCAATCGCTTCTTTTACAGCATCTGCACTTCTGGCCGCCTGACAAAGCTCCACACCACTCCTAAACATGCGTCATGACATGTATTGGTAGGTCCCTTGAGTACCCTTTGAGTACCCCCGGATCTGACTGCACAAAGCTTTAGGTCATGCACTTTCTGAGGAGATTGTCGAAATGCAACGCCTGCCCAATGTGTCTGCCGCTGTCCTTGTCCCAGCCCCAAAGACCTCTGTACCCTTTGCTGCGCCGGGACCTACAGCCAAGCTTTCCGCGGGTCCCACTGCCAGGCATCCCGGTTCAACCCCCAGGGGGTGCGGGGCCAGGACATGCCGCCCGGAGCATGTCTTAATGCCTGCCATTGCCTGCCGACATCCTTAAATCCCTTCTTCCATCCATCCATCCATCCACGTATGCATGACATCGATATTCTTTTGAACATACAAATGCACGTGCGCCTCCACCTGCACCCATACCTCTTCATACATACATGCAGATGTATGTATGCACACTGGTGTGAGTATATGCGTGCATGTAGCTGTGTTTGCATTTGTGCGCCAGCTAGGTAGCTAGCTAGTAACCCAGTACAAGCTTCCTCGCTTCCTATGTACTTACCAACCCTACTTGCCCTAGCTACAATAGATGCATGTCTAGCTACATCCTCGGTGCTTACAAGTGCAGAGAGACAGAGACAGACAGACAAGACAGACAGACAGACAGACAGACAGACAGACAGACAGACAGACAGACACAGACAGAAACAGACAGGCATTCATGTGTGTGTATATGCATATATATATATATATGTATATACATACGGGTGCATCGAGTGCGCCAGGTTGTAGTCGAATGGTTTTGTCTTATGTCGGCGTTGTACCCATGTGCAGCAGCTTTGTTTCTATAAAGTCGGGTGCTGATGTCTGTTACCACCCGTCTTAAGAGCAAACTCCACCCTCATTCATTTGCTTATATTATCCTTGATGCGATCAAGCATGCTGGGTTGGACTTGCCTTTGGTTAGACCGTGAACTCTAAACACCTGCCTAGGATAATAGTACAGATGCCAACCCTACTGGGCGCTCAACTTTTCATGCCTGGAGCTGGGGCTTAGCGAAGCAGTCGCAAAGCTCCCAAGCCCCCTTAGCCGAGGAGTGTTTGGAACAATGCTGGGCAGTACTTGCTTCGTCCAGAGGCTGCCGAGGCAGGGGGAATCCTGCCGGGGTTTAGGGTTTAGAGTTTACTGATCTTCTCAAATATTGTATAAAGGTACGATAAGGGCGGTATAAGGGTACTAGAAGCGCACTGTGTTTAGAGTCTTTGGGATTTCGGGCTTGTGGGCGACGGGTTGTGGGCACACGGTGTTTAAGCTGGTTATTGCGTGAACAAGCTTACGGTTTTAGGGCTTGGGTTGAAGCAGGTACTGTCTGTCTTGGATGCTTTACGGTTTTAGGGTTGCTGGTATTCGGTGGTGTGGAGGATCCACGATCTTGGCTGACCTTGAAACAAGCTGGCATCTAAAGACTGTGGCCACAACACTACCGCAAGACACCATGCAACAAGAACTGGCGATGTACCCTGCCTTGTGCTGCTGAGCCGGAGCATGCACACATGTGTTCCCTCACGGGGTCTCGGATCTCAGACCTGTCGCAGGCAATTTTCTACATGTTCTACTACACTGGCGATCCGAAATACCGGCGCTGGGCAGGTGTGTGGGAACTGTTAAGCCAGTGTCATAATAGTCGCAGCCCAGGGGGTCATAGGCTTGACTCCAGATAAAAGCGTTACAGCCTCATCTTGTGCGGCATTTTTGCCCAAAATGCCCAGACTCGACCATGAGAGCAGTCAGAAATTCCAGAAAATCGCTGTTTGTGACTGGGAGACTTATGTAGAAGCCCGTGCTTCCCACTGTGCCTCCTCAACCGTAGTTGCCATTGCTCTGCTTGTGTGCCGACAGCGATCCACCAAGTCTCATCGCTTTACATAGCCCTTAGCGTCGCGGATCTTCTACAGCCGGACGCCTCCATGCCTGACAGGAGTCATGCTTGACCGTGACTAGCCATGCAGAATACAGGCGAAATCATGGAGGCTATCGAGAAGAACTGTCGCACTACACACGGCTACAGTGGCTTTGTTGATATGCGGGGTTTGGGCCTTCGAACTGTTGACTCCCCAAGCCCTTAAACCTGTTACACACACGTAACGTCCAACCGTGATGCATTTCACCTATAGCACAGTACATCAACCCTAAACCCTAAACCTACTCGAGCATAGCTACGCCTCTTGGAATTCCCTGCATGGCGCATGTCATGCTGGAGCCTTCATAGGTGCAGTTATTCAAGATCATGCGCGGGGCATTTGTTGCAGGCCTGTTTCTAAGTGCCGTACCACTTCATCAACAACGATGCTTATAGCTCTGGGAGGCATTTTGCGTAACAAACATGGAAACTCAGAACAGACGTCGGATGTCACATAACCTTGTGCTCCCCGAGGCCAGCGCCGTGATGTTTCCCTAGCTGGAAGTCCGATGTTTTCAATATTCGGAGCACTGTCGAACCCCACCACAGTACACGCATGTTTCCCATGCAGTACACTTAGGGTACACTTGGACTGGAGCACCTATATGAATGCCGATCTAACACCCCTATGTTAAACTTATAGTAACAATAGTATCTTCATTGATATCGAGTCGGGCCAAGGAGAGGATGCACAAGTTCAGATATCCCAGAATCGGCAAGTGTCGGCGTTGATGCACGGTAGGTTTCTAGATGATCTGAGGGTCTTCAGGGGAATCGGCCTCTCACCTGAGATCTACCCTAAACCCTAAACGAGGCTCATGAAGGCAGAAGTTTGAAAGAGAGACCTTGAGCAAAGGTGCAGTGACCGACGTGCGGCGGAGCCCGGTGACCCTGCGTAACGAGATGGAGACCTTCTTTTTGGCAGCCCCGTGGCTGGCATTTAGGTAGTTCTCTAAACTTGGGTCGATCCTTTCCGACAACTTTGGCTCTGTTTGCACTGAATAATTCCTGTACTTCTGGGTTCTGGCGAGTGCCGAAATGTGTTGATAAGCCTGCGGCTGAAAGATTTGAGGCTTTTGGGCGCAGGCCCTTCGATGTGAGTCCTTTGTAAGGGATAGGCTTTGGGCTGTTTTGCCTTGTGGTTTCAGAATGTCGCCAGTCAGACTTCGCTGAGGGACACTAGTAGCAGCAATTCTTGAGCCTCAGCGGTTTTGGCGGGTGCACGGAGTGGCATTTCAACTGGATGACACGGACTTGGCAGCATTTTGAAGAAAGAGCCGTGGGAAGTACCAAGTACGGATTTTGGCTTAGGGTACAGGGTGCCTGAGGTCACTGTGAGAGTCGATGACATGTGCTTCTGCTTCCGAAGTAACACCTCCAAGTCTTCTCGTATCTTCTTCGGCAGAGTAAGGAAAAGCACAGCCAGAACAATGAATGCCCAAGTTTACAGCAGGTTGCTAGTATCCAATCACGATGCGACTGAAGCCTGAACCACGGCAGTAAAGGATTTTGCCGAGTACAGTATGTGACCCAAGTCTTCTCGTCCAGAACCCTGCTTTCAGGTCTTTGAAAATTTCGAGACCGGCGAGCAAACAGATGAAGCTTCAGACATCTGCAGCCCAGGAAACCCTGAAGTATCTCTACCTCACTTTCGTTCCTAATCCGCGCACGGCCGCTGGGTGCTGCAATTCAGTTGGAGTTCGTGCACGTTCTGCATCCCCGCGCTGCATGAGTGCACGTTTGGGAGCAGCCAGGACCGTCGACCACAGTTAGAGAAGTTAGTGCGCCCTAGTAACCTAGCAGTATCCTTGTATCTGCTCACAAGTCTCAAGAGGCACAGCAGCTTGTTTTGGAGTCTATCCTGCGACATCCTGGCCCCGCAGGTTTTGAACCTCGATGACTTCGTTATCACGACCGAAGCTCATCCCTTGAGAATAGCCAAGGTTGGGAAGGCCAACCGGCAGCAGAGATTTCTAGGCAAGTGAGGTGTTGACATCCTCGCCAAAGGTTAATCAGCCCGGATGCGACACATGTTGTTAGTTCAGTGTCTGCCTTTGGGGTTTCGAATGCCGATTCAAAACATTGCTTCGGCTTCATGGATGGAATATCAACATTCCAAGATCGATACAGCCGCTTGCTTTGCGTGGAATTACTTCACAGCAAAGGACGAATGTTGATGAATTCCATGCCTTGCCCTATGCATCTCAAGCCTGTTTCGGCTTGCAAATTCAAGAGACTTTCGCAGTCGAGGCAGCTTATCCCAAAGGTTTCGCATAGCTTTGCTTATGTATATCTGTTTCTAGATCGTCAGTTAGATGGATGGATGGATAGATGGATTGCAAACAGATGGATAGACAGACAGATAGATCTATCCATTTGGCTGTCTGTCTATCTACCTATCCACCTATATGCAATGAATTGGTAGATTGGTAGGTAGGTAGACAGTTAGGGTGATAGGCAGAGGCAGACCGACTGACAGACAGGCAGACAGAGAGAGAGAGAGAGAGATAGTTACACCACGAGGTGGATAGATAGATGCATAGATGCTAAGACACATAATAGTTGAACCTAATCACGAGATAGTTCGACAGATGGACAGATAGGTAGATAGATAGCTAACCCGGTGGGTAGATAGATAATTAGTTAACCAGATAGACCAAGAGATATATAGAGGGGCAGGGCGAAAGCGAGACAGAGAGAGAGATTGAGAGCTAAAGAAAAGGATAGGGACTGGGAGAACGATACATGACTGACATAGAGATAGATGCAGCCAGCCCAGGTTATGGTTCAACTTCAGATATCAGATTCTGTCCAATAATACACGCCTATTGAGCCAATGCCTTGTGTGCACATGGGAAGACTTCCCAATCGATTGATGCAATGGCCAGTCATCGAGCTACCTCTAACTGCGATGTCTCACCGAAAACCCATAGCGCAAAGGGCCAGAAGCCCTGTGCATGTTGATTCAATCAAAGACTCCAGGGTTTTGGCTTTGGATAGGTTAGGATCCCCTATGACCGGCATCCCCGTGCATGACACAGCCTGATTTCCTGCATCCTCCGGGCCTTCAACCTTGAACCATTGGCTCCCGACCCTGGACCCTAAACCCGACCCCATGCTTTTGCTTCAAGCCGGCTGTTGGGTGGAGACTGAGAGTTTCTTGGTGTATGTCTCTTTCCGAGTCTCAAAGAAGGTCGACAGATTTCAAGAAATCCGCAATTGAGGAATATACTTTCAAGGAGTATATCTTAAGTCATCGTAGGGATCCCGCTTATGTTTTTGAGGAGTATATTCCTTCGTGAAGGGATGTTGGACGATCTGTGTCGGAAGATGTAGCTTTGCACCCTCTAGGGAACAAGTATTCGAATCGAAACCACAAGGCAATCGGGCAGGCCGTGGGCCGTGTGCGGATTGCGTTGCTGCGCTTTGTTTGTTGTTTATTGCCCTTCGATGATCTGATAAGATGGTCATGACTATCTAAGAGCTCTCGGCTGCTATTCCTGGGGGGTGCGGTCTCCTGCTTTTCTGTCACTTGAGTCCCAGGCCCTGAACTGTTGCCCCAAAATCCTGCGGCTTGCTTGCAGATAAAGGTTTTCCACTTACCCGGTTTCCCTGCACCCCAAACCCTAAACAACTTCAAGCTCTCGAACCTAGCCACTGGACTAACACAAGCACAAACTCGAGCCGCGGCGCATGTATCCTAGACACAGGACCTTTTGTAGCATCTTGCGGAATCCTGGCTGTGAGAGTTATGTAACTTGCGGGGCATGTTCTCCAAATGGACCGCTGCCTCGTGCAAAGCTTAGTGTCAGAAAGAGTGTTGGTCTCAGTGTGCGACGACCTTAAATTCTCAAGTCCAAACCCTGCAACCAGATACTCCAAGCTTCAATATCGCATCTAGGTGGGGCTTAAGTTTCAGTGCGATTTGGCTCATCTCGTGCGTAGCTGCATATTATTGGGGGTTGGGTCTAGGTTTCGCCATAAAGATTTTTGCTTGTCGGGGCGTAAATGTAGGCACATGAATAAATACCAACATGACTCCACGGGTTCATTACTGTAAATAGAGTGCAATACC